TTTGGGACCATCCATTAATGCTTTTCTCACTATTTATTATGGAAAATTCTACTTATTAGCCAGTAATAAACAAAGAAAACGTAGTAATAACGTACCAATAGTCTCATATTTCTACTTCTGTAAGTATAGTGCGGAATGGCATTAAGAAAAATTTGCTGTTGTAAAATCAGGAGTTGGAGGTTCTCGTTAAAACTGAAAATTCGAGATACCATTCGCTTTGCCTGAATGGGCTTCATCATGCCATCGCCATTGGAAGATTTCGGCTGAAAAAGATTTATAGAAGCCATTGAGGGATATGCTCGGGCCTTTAGGCACGTAAGCATCCATTGTGAGAGGGGGATGCTTAATGGAAGGACTGAACCATAAGCGATTATTTTTTGGCATACTCATCTATCTTGCTGGCTCCAAAGAAGAAACAATTGCGAGATGCCGAATGACTTCATTTTTGATTCTGGGGCAGAACTCTCGCAAGTTTCTGAGCAACAGCTCTTTCTCCAACGTCATTCTATCAATGAGCTCACGGGAGCATAGGGTTATGGCAGGTGCAGAAGACCGCAAAAATGAAGAGATTGCAGACCTGCCTCTCTCCATAAAATATTTAATCGGCGCTCATGAGCGGAGTCCTTGTTTCTAGTTATTTTTGGCATGTTATATTCTATAGTGGATGCATTTAGAACATCGATAATGCGTAATGTTTTCACAATTGTTAGCTTGAAAGATGTAGGAATATTTTGTTATGCTTATGTCAGGTAATGAACTTTACAAAGAAGAGCTATCAACTCGATTTATTTCATAATCTTGAGGAAAAATTTATATATGATTTTCACAACATCAATCGGAAACATTTTGGAGTTATGCGAGCTAAAATATGGGATGGAACATTGCCCTAAGCCTCTAGCAAGTCTTCAGAAGAACTCTATTCTTGGATTTGGTGAGCTCGCTATACGCTGAATTATATGGCTGGATGGGCAAAAACTGCAAGCACTGGAGAGCAGAAATCGAGAATTACTTCGTAAGCGGGGGAGGCAGTACCGGGCAGTGCAAGCATCCGTCATTGCTTTGCCAAGCAAACTAAAGAAGTGGACACAAGCACGACTCACGTGTAATATATGGATAAGCAGCCAGTGTTTTATTTCCAGCATACTTTCCGATAGCTTCGGCAGAGTGACGGATCAAATTCTGTGAGATGGAGCTTGGTTTCAGCATCATACTGACATGAGATTAATTAGCCAAATCTAAGCTAATAATAAGACATCAACTCGCTGAAATATCATGCATTTAAACAAACAATCATGCTTGATAGATCGCTTCTTTGCTATGAGGTTTAGAGTTTAAAGCGTTATGTTTCAATGCCCTAACGTTTCCTGTTTAAGACAACAAACTTTGTCATGAAGATATTCAACATGATGAGAAGAAAGAAAAATTGGTTTTAGTGGTCTTCAGAGGGTGATGGACCGGCAGTGCCATTTTTGCTTCACGGCAGTAGTGTTCGTCACGTCGAAGATGAATGTTCTCCATTTCCCACTTTTCGCTCCATCTTTTTTGGCATAACCCTCGAGATGTGGCAAAATGCAGAAAAAGCAAGTGCAAATACCCATCACTTTCGGATAAAATCACACAAATCAAGCCTTCGACGAGAAATACTGCTCAATAGGTAGCTCAGAAGCTAGGTATTCAAGACTAAGATTCTATAGTCAAAACCTTAGCAAATTATGAGTTTGTTGAGCGTATTCAAGGTGTCCCACATAATTTATCGAACGTTTGATCTGTGATCACTCTTCTATATAAGATACGTTCCTTTCTCCAAATGCTGGGTTGTGGAACTGAATTTAACTTACACTTACACTATAAAGCGACCAACGGCTGCTCTTCATTACTGTAAGCGGTAGGAATTCTGAAGATGGTTTGAACCACTGAAGGCTTAAGCAAACCATAGAATCTGAAAACTTCTGCAAAAGGCTGACCAAAGCCGCTGATACCAAATATGAACTGTGTAATTTATCGCAATGCTTTGTTGATAAGTTACGCCAAGTAAACTGTAACAGCTGTTTTTATGATACTTCCTAAAATTGTGATTACATTATCTCAAGCTTTACAAACTCGTAAAAAGTTGAAGTCAATGCGTAAAAAAACTGATAGACAACCTTTTTGATTTTTTGTAATTTATTCTAACACACGGCTATTCCACAATGACGCTTGTAAGCTGAAAGTTCCTACTCCTACACAATGACGATCGACTAGCGATTCTTCCATACCGTAAACTTGAGTGGAAGCCAATTGCACAATATGTTGTTTGAAGAAACCTTTCCATACAAAAAGTTGTTACACATCAAACGTTCAGTTCATTACTTTGAAACACCCTTATATACAGGGTGTTTTAAAAGTATGTATACACTGTTTGATTACAATATCTCTGTTCCCTAGAAGTCTTCTGCCTGCTTTCAGGTACCTTTTGTAGAGCAGGCTTCAACTTAGATTCACAGTATGGAGCGAATCAATTATCTTTGTTCACTACTGTAAGATTACGGTAGGAACTTCAGGAAGGGTTTTGAGCCATTGAGAGCCCTATTTCACCTTAAAAGCAAACCAAACAATCTGAAAACTCTTACACTAGGCTAATTAAAGTCGCTAAAACCAAATATGAGCTTTGCATTTGATCCCGTTCTTCCTTCATGACTTATGACCCCTAAACCGTGATAACTGTTTTTACGATGCTCCCTAAAATTGCAATCACACCCTTTGAAAAGCTTTACAAACTGCTAGAAAGTTGAGTAATGAAATCATTGCGCGTAAAATTCCTGGTACACCACTTTTCAGAATTTTTGGAAAGTTTTTTGAAACACGACTAATCCACGATGACGCTGTAAGCCAAAAGTTCCTACCTACCATAATCCTACAGTATCGAAAAGCGATTCGGTGGTTCGCTGCATACTGTAAATTGTCTAAGTTGAAGTTAGCTCTACAAAATGGTACCTTAAGGTAGGTAAGAGACTCCCTAGGAAGAGAGATATCAACGATTAAACAGTGTATATTGGGACACCCTGTATGCTCTTTGTTCTTTGGTAACTTTTTGGCTCACATGGAGAAGCAGCAAATTGAAGGTTTCACACTTCACGTAGATTGACGACAATTGTATACAGCACAACGACATTGGAACCGTCTTGGAATTGTCTACTATAGGTTGTAACATAAGTTTTGTACACTTTAACTTCTTACGGCGGTAAGTCGTATGCTTCGAATTTTTATACGACTCCAGGGCACCATCCGAAAAAGCAAAGCAAGCTCTACAAGATGGTAGGCAAAAGTTCGCACCAGCTTTGACTCAGCGTAAGTTTGTATCTAGAATCTGAGTCGTATTGAAGGCTCAAAAAAAAACGGGGAAAATTCTATCTTCGTCAAAAAAATCCTATGAATTTCCAACTTGCTCAAACAAATTGTATACCATATCAGACATCATATGTACCGTTCCTGTATTCTAATCTAGAAATCAAGAAAAAGAAAATTTTCATGCTTATATAAAAACAAAGCTGTGCTGTTTCCACCCATGTATTTGTAAACAGCCCTTAGAAGTGTAACCGTAAATTTTCAGCCTTCCACAAGCCCTAGTTTTCGAAAGATTAATTATACATGGAACACCCGAGTGAGGAGAGCTAAATTTGGTAATTTTCGAAAAAGGGTCTTTGGAGAGCTGAAAATTTACGTTATACTTCTAACGGCTTGTAAATACTAGACAACTAGATGAGTGGGAGCAGCGTAGCTTCGTTTTTGCATGAGCATTAAAAAAAATTTTTTTTTCAATTTATAGATGAGGAAGAAATACAGGAACATATGAGTGCCTAATATGGTGTGGAATTTGTGTGAGCAAGTTGGGGATCCGCAGAATTTTGAACGAAGATTAGAATTTTCCCCTATTTTATGAGCCTTCATTACGAAGATTCTGGATACAAGCTTACGGTGAGTGAAGCTGGTGAACTTTTGCCCACCATCCTGTAGTTTGCTGTGCTCTATCGAATGGTACCCTGAAGCCCTATTAAAGGAAGAATTGCGAGCGCGAGCTTTCCATACCTACATGGCCTTCTGGATGTGCTGAGTCCAGTGCTGTGCTTGAAAAATCAAAAAAAAAAATGCTTTTTACGACGTTTTCCTATCCTGGAGACAGCTGGAGGGGATGAGCGAGGAAATCCCGCCATAAGCAGCGACTGGCTGCAGGATACTGTAACTCCACCGATTTTGGCGGCAGTTGGCTGATTGGCTAATGCAGCCACTTGCGATGTTGGCGGAAATCCCTCGCCCATCCTCCCAGCTATCTCCTGGGTATGAAAACGCCGTAGAAAGCACTTCTTTGACTTTTAAAGCACAGCACTGGACTCAGCGCATCCAGAAGACCATATAGGCATGGAACGCTCGTACCTGCTATTTTCCCGAGCCGCTGCCTTTAAATGTGCATGACTTACCGTCGTAAGAAGTTAAAGTGTAACAAGACTTGTGTTACAACCTAATACAAGCAGCAGCACATCTTCACTCGCCCAATGAGCATCGAAGCAGCCCGACGCGTTGGCCGCAGAGGGCAGAAAATGGATGATTAGATCATTTTGTTTCAAAGTGGTTCCTTTATTACTTGTTCTGCATCGTGAAAAAGAAATTGACAAATGAAAAAAGAAACGAAAAAGTGATCCGATGTATACAGGGGACTATAACTGTTGGATACGAAAGATATATACAAAACGCGTGCATTTATCATATCATAATGACCCGATGATGAGCATCCAGTAATTCTTTTCTTCCAATGAGAACTTGAACGCTACTTAACAAAAAAAAATTGGCTGCGATCCCCCTGGGATTTTGCAATGACTGCCACTTCACTGTCTTTGACGTATAACATATTGTGTAACAATCGCATAAATTAACTTAACAAAGCTTTGATAAATGCCGTTTTCTACATTCATTATTTTAAATAAATGTGATGCCTTTTTGAAACGCAAACTCTTACGTGACTAGCTGCCATTATGAATTTATTGGGTATCAAAATGGAAAGAAACTTAACAATGGAAATAAGCGATCTCAGAGCTGTTATAAGACACTTTATCACACATATCATTCACCTAATCACAGAGAATATCACAGAGAACAGGAATTGCGATTCTGAGAGAAAAACGGAAAACCGAACAGTTCACAAAGACTTCAACAAAATTTAAACTAAATGATGAGCATCAAAGGCAGTAAGTAAATTCAAAAGCATTGTGCTATTGCAAAACTCATCGCATATTCATTTTTTGGATTGATGCAAGAAGAACATCGCGGTGCTTCCGTCGAATCTCAGTTTGCCTTCGAGTTAAGGCACTTCTTAGGCATTCGAAAAGAGGGGCAAAGTCAACTTTAGGTTTCGGAGGTGGTGTTTCGTTCCTTGAAAACGTTCAGTAAGCAATGAATAAATTGTGCCGAGGCAAGAAAAACAAAACATGAAGAGCAGACGCAAGCAGATCCCGTGATATCAGGACTATGAAGCAGTGGCGTACCGAGGGGGGGGGGCGGGGGGGGCGCGCGCCCCCCCCCCCGAGAACGGGTCGCGAAATTTTTGAAAGTTACTTACATGGGTTATAAACATGTGCAAGTGACTTGTTTTTACTTGTAAATAATTAAAATAATTTTTAAAATTTTTTAAAAATTCATTTTAGCCTTATAAAAATTTTTTTTTCGGGGGCGTGGCTGACGCCACGCCCCCTTTTTCCAGATTTTAGGGGTCGGGGACCCGGAAAAATTTTGAGAAGCACCCCAAAAAATTTTTCGGAGTGCGTGGCTAACGCCACGCACCTTCTTTAGAGAAAAATTTTTGTCGCGCCCCCCCCCGAGCCGAAATCCTGGGTACGCCACTGCTATGAAGTGAAGCTTGAAAGTGCTAGCTGGGTATCCTCGAGTTAACTAATGCACGCGGCCACTGGAAACTTCACTGCTGCTTTTGATCAACCTACCGTTACTCATCTTGAAGTTAGAAACTAGAGTTCCACAATCAATACCTTAGTCCGCCTATGTGCAGTCAGAGTATCATCTTGCAAAAAACTTTTCCTTTTTTCTTGACTTTGCGCTTTAGTAGGAAGAGAGATGAAAATTTCGGGCATTACTGTGTTTTGACATAAAAGAATTTGAATTTGTCATTCCTTGAAATCAAACTATGCGAGCGTAGTCTCTTCAAAATCCCTACGTTCATGCTATTTTAGTTGCTTTCTACTGTCATGCTTGGCAATGAAATTTGACACGTACTGTATAGCATACGTGAACCGAATTTCAAGAAAAAACTGACCCTACAACTGTAAGAGCTGGTACGGCTTGCAGCCTTTTATGTAACGTGTGGAATGCATCAGATTGCGGCATGAGCATCAACAGAGCCGACAATACCGTCGATAGCGATCGCTGATGACAGGCAGAAAGTAGATCCATTCTGACATCTGGAAATAAGCCATACCTCTATAACACTATGTCGAAACCTCAGTCACCAAAACTGTTAAGTACCAAAGCATCCATATATAAATATAACAAAATAACTCATGTTGAAGGTTCGTGATTTCTCAAAAACTAGCTCTCTGGTTTGCTGGGAGAAACTTACACGCAAGGATAGGGCTTTCAATCATATTGACCAATTTGTCGATTTCTACAAGAACATCCAATGTCATGTCCACCTGTAAAGGAAACGAAAAATTGAAACCATAGATGAGCATAGACTTATATTAGTGTTTTGAGCTTTATAATGTGATTTCATAACAATTTCAAATCTGCAAAAACAAGCATTAATCTAAAATCAAAGTATGCAACAACGACAAGCCTGGGACAACATCAGCGCAATTTCAGCAGCTTGTGCATAATTTTGTGACAAAAGGCATAAGCCAAGCAAAGCAATTGGTCGATAGCACCAACAACGAAACACGCATTCGAATAAAGAGATCGAGTCCTAAATCGCTAGATAATTATTCCTGCAAACCTTGAAAAACTCCCAACCTTGCCTTCAAGAGTTCTTAGCTGATCGCGAAGGATAAATAGTTCTGTAGCAGTCAACAATACCCCATGCAACATTGATACAACATCCTGAAACCACAAAGGAAATTCGGGAACATCACTGAAATTAATAACATACTTGTATAAAAGTGACATTTTGCTCTCTGAGCAGTAAAACGCATAGTGCTCGATAAATTAGAGCAGGCTCCATAAGTAGACAAAGCTGCCTGAATCGCACAATGCATGTTTCAGGCATAGGGAGTAAATTAATTAGGTACCTGATAATCAGTACACCCCTGTCATTGAGCAAAGCCGGTTCTGCGCGAAACATTTCGAGTAGGCTTATTGCAAACTTCACAAGAGAGGGAGAAACAGGTGCGAGCTGCAACAGGATGCCTCTACCAAACAAGTTCTTCAGAATCAAGACGAAAATAAAATTTACTAACATCTTTCACTGTACTATCGCTGAGATGGAAGCTTTTCAGGTCAACATCATATCGATCTGCATTGGACTGACAGATGTCGGACAGTAAATGAAGGTCGAGAAGAAGAACCTTAATACAGCAAACGATCACCGAACTCTATGAAAGCGGCATAAATATAAGGCCAAAAAATCCAAGAGGAGCATGTGAATAAAATTGGCGCAGAAACAAACCTCATCGGACGTGTCCGAAAGTGTACCAAGCAAGACCGGGAATATCCTGTCCATGTGAAGGAATAACTGAGATATACAAAATGTACGCAATGTATCCAATCAAGAACAAGTAACGAAGACATTTTACAAGATCTGAACATGAAGCACTGACCTGCGAGGGCATAGTCGCATTTAAATGCCGTATCCAGTTGAGTACAGCTATTCTAGTCTCGCGTTTCCCATGATTTACGAACTTCAGTAGCACTTCTGGAATAAATTTGTATTTGCTGGTGATTGAGGCTGAAATCAATAACTGGAACGAAAGGTCGAACAGAGTGCCTACCAATGACACAGTTGATAGTCTGCTCCTCCACTTTAGTGTTGGCTTCTATCAACGTCAGTAGATAATCGTTTATACTCCTAGCTGAAAACGTTTACTATCAATGCAAGAAGAAAATACAGACGTTGCACATTCATGTGCGATTCGAGCAGATTCAGAAGTCAGATACAATATCCACACCTAAGTCAGCTTTCTCGTTACCTGGGGACTATTCAACTTGACACTAAAGATTCATGTATAAGTTTGTATGAATCGTATGAGACAACAAGTTTGCATGAAAGTAAGTGATATCAACTCATGTTAGCGACTTGAACTTCTAGCACAACAAGCAAAAGTGTCGATGATCTACTCCTACTCCCTTTGACTGAAGGCTTTGTACTATGAGAGTGCAAAAGATTATAAATAGAGTTCCTAGTTACTTAAAGGCTTAAAGGCAGCGGCTCGGCAGAATGTCAACTTTGGCACATTCATCGTTCTCGAATAAGCTAAGCCTAAGAGTGTCTTTGCAGCTTTAAAAGATACCAATGACCCGTTTTCCGGCGCAGGCCTGCCCTCTAGAGAGCGATTGGCTCTAGAGGGCAGGCTGAATGAGGAAACCGTACCCATATCGGTGGCAAATTATTGGTTCCAGCAATCACTTTCGCGACCCGCCTAAACAGCATTTTTCAGGGTGGAGGACATTAGGTCGCTGTAAGAGGGCGGTCCCCGCGGTCATTTGCGACAAATACGCACCCTTGGTACATACGCGGACATGCGTTCCTACAGGGAATCCGCGCGGGACTCTTCCAAATTCGGCGACCTAATGTCCTCACCCCCATTTTTCACACTGAAAAGCGGGTTATTGATACCCTTTGAAGTTGCAAAGCACAGCCTTGGACTTAGCTCATCCAAGAAAACCGAGAACGATGAATATCTCAAAGTTGACAAACTCATTCGAGATGCAAAGAGAAAATAATATTCATAGAAGGCTCCAAAAACAAGGCTTGGAAGTGTTACTAATAGATTATGATCGTTCTTTAGAAGACATAAATGTGTACCTTTCAATGCATCACAGTCCAGAGACGGCAAGATAGCAGTCAGGTATGATGATAAATATGGTAACATCTTTTCCTTGTATATCCTTAGAATGAAATGAAATATTAGTACAAAAAGATGAGGGAGTTTGATACCGTATAAATTCGTCCATCCATATCAATGCCAATTTTCTACCCAAAGGTGGCTCGTCTTCATGAGCATGGGCCAGCAGCACGCTTACCATTTGAGAGCGATCTTCCTGCAAGCAAGACATCATCATGGGAAAGTACAGCGGGGATAGAATGTGTGACAAAGAAGTGGGTAGCACATTTTCATGATACTATATTGGAAACTCTTGGTTCCTGACTATGAGGCCGTCTTCACAAAAAATGCAAAGCGGTGATTTCAGTGGTTCAAGTACAATCCCTGCATTCGTCCAATTCCCCTGCAAGAGTGCTCTTGACTTACGGGACTAAGCGCATTTGGATTATTATGTATTCCTTGTAAGAATTGACCCAGAAGAGTTTCCGTGACGTCCCTAACAGCTGGTTGACTATCAGCTAGCATTCGGAATAAGCCATCGGACACCTCTGCCACATATGGAAGAATACTAAACGCAGGCGTTGACAGCATCACATTCAACTAAAAACGCAGAATCATATCTGGAGCGATATCAGAATTCAGAATCATACCCACTGCACAATGAACTTTCTATTTGAACTGGTCTGAACATAGATTCGATCTCGTATAAGACTCATTAGGTTAGCTATATCAAAGTCTTCTTTTGATACCACAATATCCTGAAAACAACAGTTTAAGAATTTGGCGCAAGGAGGTATCGGCAATGACCATAAGTAGTCGATCTAACAGTTCCGCTCCACTTCTCACATTTTGATCAGTGTCAGCCGATAGCTAAAAAGAGAATAATATCGTAGAAAAACAAAAAAAATCAGACCATCCAAACAAAATTCAATACTACAAACTTCATCAGTACAGGAGAAAGAATATATCTCTCAGATAAAGCATACCTTCCACAATACATCAAAAAGTTGGTCGAAATGACTCAGTACAGCGACTTTGCAGATCTTGACGATGTTGTATAGGGACTGTAACGACGTGCAATGAAGGTGGAAACTATGAAAGGAAAGTACGAAAATTCAAAGTCAATCATGAAAGATGCAGGCGCTACCCTAGCATCATCACCACCCTCAAATCTCAAATCCCATGGTTACCTTGTTGATAGCGTACGAAGGATGATAAGTTATATGGAGTTACTATGCAAGCCGAGATCAAGGATATGTTCAGTTGCTGCAAGTTTAAGCCCATTTCTACCCAAGTAACCCTGCGAATCGGCCCAAAACGTCCTTGGCACTCATCAAGACAGATTCATCAGATCATGCTAGTCTATAAAAACTGCACAAATTCGACGCAATTTCGCAACTAACAAGTAGGACATCATATGCAAAGTCTGATAGAAATCCGGTTGAATAAAATTTCAAAGCAAGAAAGTGAAAGATACAAATTGCTATCAATGAGATGTTCCCATAATCCTCCTCGTAAATAGACAAAACTTGGAACAAACGTAACACACCTCACAAGCGTAGTACCGCACCCGCAAATCTGGATCATTGAAACATGACAGCACAGGTTCTATCAAATGAACTGTGTAGGGTGGCGCATTCTGGAAAAATTGTCCAAAACCACCGAAAGGCGGTATCCGGGCAAAAAGTCGGTTTTGAGATTGTGTTTACTCCTATTCGCTATGCTGAATTCCGATAATCTATACTGGACAACGCAGGAAGGAAATCAGAAGTGGGCGGGATCTTCCCCACTGTGAATTAACGATCCCGGCTTCCGGAGCGATCTTCTCAATGCCGCTAACCACCCTGACATCTCCACAAGGCAAGTGCGGATGCGTGACTTGAAATCGTAACCGAGGAGATCACTCCGGGCTGAAACCGTGAATTCACAGTGGAGAGACCCGCTCACTTCTGATTTCCTTCCTGCGTTAGAGCCCCTTTTCGCCGTTTTCGCTTCTCTCGTATAGATTTCGAATTCAGCATAGCGAATAGGCTCGAATAAGCACAAAACCTCGAGACCGAGTTTTTGCCCGGACACTGCCTTTGAAATCACGTCTAGACTTACCTTTCCCAGAGCAATAGCGGCTGCAGCCAAGCCTATCAAACCGCCTTTTCTAGTGTGTCCATTGCTGGCCATCGCAAGCTCACGAAGAACCGTAAGCAGTTTGTCAAGTTGAGTAAGTTGATTGGTAGCATGGAGATCTCTGACTAACCTAAACACACGCTCAGTAATAACCCAATTACACGCTAAATTATTTTATATATTATTTTATATAACTATTTACTCCATTTATTTTGAAAAACTTACTTCCAGGCCTTTACATACTTTCTCACATTAGAGAGAAACAAAGCAGTTAGAAAAGAAAGTCGAAATCACTCACTTCTCTATATCAAGCGCTGCTGCTTTTCTTTTCTCGTATAGCTTGTCCGTCAATGTACGCACAATATTGGCTGTTAGAGGAGCGTACTGATTATCAGCCATGGTTTAACTGGAAACAACAAACTACACCATATATAACACCTCACAAAGAAAAAGTAACGCTTATGAATGATGCTGCTGTCAAGTACGCCAGATTCATGCATCTCGTGCGATTGCACTAAAGATAGGAAAATTGTCCTCCGATTACATAACCCGGGTTGGGCGGGTTCATACCGATCCGTAAGTCCGGAACACTTTCGGCACAGCGCACTGTAGGGAACACTATGAACACAGCCTTATGAGGCGAGTCGATCGGCTCCCAATTTTATGTTGAAGCAATTTGCGGTTTTTTTTTTGATTATGAGGATAAGCTTGTTAGACCTCCACGTATACTTTCTCGCTATCAAACACCGCAAGGCTTTGAGCTGGCATGACACCACCTCCACACGAATCTAAGAATTGATAATTTGTGGGATTACGACGACACTATTAGCCTCCCTCTGTTTCTCTTGTGCCTCGGGAACATAGAGTTCCTGTTCAAAAAACGATGGTCTCTCTTGCTCATTGTAACCGTTGTGCTGACCAAAACGGAAGCGTTTATGGAAAAGTGTAACATGAGTCCAAGAACATGCTTTCTTGGCAGAATGTGCGGATTGCAAAACGACTTTTATTTTGAGCTGTCGTCATACCGTAAGATCACGGTAACCACACATCAGCATCTCCGCTCCCGTTCGGCCGCCTCCTCTGAACTCCACATTTTTTTTCACGAACATACTCTCTTGTCACTTTCCTACCACGAGCATGAGAAAGGCGAAGCTTCAGTCCCTATTAAAGCGAGCGAGCGATTAGAGAGCATGTTTGCGAAGCACGTGCAAGGTTCCAGGCGAGGCGGCCACGCGGGAGAGGAGGTGCTGATGCACCCGACACCGCAATTGATAAGCCTAAAATCACGATTTTTGCCGAAGAAAATCATTTTGGGATGCTATTTAATGTTGCCTGCTAAAATTGCCCTCGTCTGGTATGCTAACTAAGGGTGCGAGATCTTAGGAACCAGAGTCTAACTAACCTGATGGGAGTGCCTGCAGGATGCAGTCATGCTCGCCTCTCTTGCTCCCTAGGACAGTTGCAAATTATTTCCAAACAAAGAAATGAGTCTATACGAAAGCTTTTGGTGTTGGCCGATCCAGAATGCACTGCAATCCGGAGCTTCCAAGCACTTCCTTTAAAATTTTTGAATCAGTCAAAAATTCGAGATTATATGATTTGTGTATAGACTGTGGCTTCCCTTATGTTACTTAATTTCTTCCCCTATCAGGAGCCGTCACTTTTCCTTCTTTATATCTATCTTTACACTTCAAATACTGAAGAGGGATTTTGTGAAAGGGTTTTAGCACTCAAATTAGACTTTGAACAGAAGAGAATAATCAGACTATAAAACTTTCACGATAACAGCACTATTTTTTCTTTCGTTCAAGCCTAATTTCACATTCGTACGATCGGTTAGAAGATTCCAGATTCCAGAAGATTTTCAGCTGAGAGCCAATTTTGACCTGACTTTCGCTGGAATCTTCAGTGTCTCTTGGTCATCTTCTCCAGCTTTATAGGGCCGAACTTGAATTCTCTTATGTTCCAGGGAGCAATAGGAGACGGCGAGCATGACTGTATCATGCAGGTGCTTGTGTCGGACTAATTCAGCGAGCTGAAAGGAAAAGTAGATGACAATTCTTGAGATCTAAAAACATACCCTCTTAGGGATCGGGCATACCTCGTCGCCGTGCGATTTTTGATTGCTACGATTGTTCATAATTTGCCGTAGGTGCATACTATGTGAACAAGGTTTGGCATGTACGCATAAGCTTACAAAAGCTCTGCGCCTATGCACGTAAATTCCACACGCGGTAGATTTGAAGACATCTGGCAAATTGCCAGATCGCGTATCGCCGCGATTTTGAAGAAATCGCGCGAGGTATATTCGATGCCTTAGGTTCTTGAACCCTATTAAAAGCAACAAAAAACCAAAAAAAAAACAGAAATGATTTACCGAATGAGATAGATAAACCCTGTTTCCTAGCTATGTTAATTGAGTAATACACGACTGCACGAAAGATACATATGCTAATTTCTAAGAAATCTCGTTTACTTTGAGATGGTTCTTCACTACTGGTTCTCGTCTACTCTGTACCTTCTGGGAATTTTTCATTATTCTCATACAAAAAACCACATGAAGCTTCACCATTAAGAGTGCAACACTTCCCGAGACTCCTTTTTTTCTACTGCGTGTAAAAGCATTTCAATCCTTGTTTCAATAAGGAAATGAGCTTCAGTTAAGTACTGTGGTCTGCTCTCAAAAAAGATGTAATGGTACAGCCTGTCTCAATCCTAATCAGGTCGAAATGCATGGCAAAGTTCGCGTCGCGAGGGTTTTGCGTCACGTTCACGTTCAACCTCTCCTGCCCTCTCTTCAATCCTTTCGCTCTCTCGCGCATATGCAGCGCAAACCGCTTAGCGAGCAAATTTGCGCCAACGCACTGCTTGTACCCAAAGGGACAGACTGTTCTTCGTGTTATCAACTGAGTTCTTTGAAACATCAGTTTGCCACCCTTGTGCGAGGCTCCGAGTAAAGATAAACCGAACTTATTTAAAAACTATTCATTGTCACAAATGAGATCCAGGTCTACATAAGATATCCGTTCTCCCCATATTCGTCGAATGGTGACTAGTAACACTCCCACCATGAACGATTACCCAAAACATCGGAAGCACGTGTTTCGAACACGAATTCTTCATAACTATCAGAGGTGTCAGATGAGACATCTGCTCCTTCTTCCTCCGCACCAACGATTTCACATGGATCAAACTCTCTGTTCGCAACAATAGTTAGGTAGTCATCGAATGGCTGAAGATTACGAAGTCTCCCAGCGAGGTGATTGAGGCCGTAATACTAAAAAGAACTACATTTAATCAGCAATTTGCAAAAAGTACGTTTTTTTGAAAACAGCCGCAACCTAACCAAATGCGTAAAGAAAATTTTGAGCTAACCTTAGCATCCTCTTGCAGCAATGCAATACGATGCTCATCGTAGCGAATTCTTATTATTCCGTCCTGCAGGTAAAACATTATCAATACGAACATTTCAGGATTTCGGTCGATGAACATTACTCCCGAACGCTGCAATCAGAGAATGTATAGTCGTTCCAGCAAGAAAAACAATGACTCACCGGGAGATTCATCTTCCGAAAAATACTTAGATCGTTTTTTCCCGGACAGTTTCTCAGTGTCCTTGTGGTAGTGAGGAATTCCTCCCCGCCCACATTTAATTTCACTGGGTGAAACATCGTGAGCACACTGAAATTCGAAAACAAAGTAGCCGTACAGTAGTGAGCACCATCGCAAGGTAACAAGCAATCGCACAGAAAGTTGCGCATGATCTAGCAGATTTTCGTGTAGAACGGAGCAATCGGACTATCAATAGTTGAGCTTTCTGCTACTCGTTACTACTCGTTACTCAAAATGCGCCTAACACGAATAACTATATACATTGCTGGCATATAACTATTAGGCTGTCTCATAACTTTTTTACCGTTTTTACCCTAAACATCATCATTTCTCGAGAACTGGGGCACCTACAAAAAATCCAAATACACAGTCGTACTTCATATGTGTGAGCTATATGATCACATGCGTGAGAGAACCTCGGGACGTCTAGGGCGGTGTTTGCCTTTCTGCCTTATTCATTTTTCTCTTTATTTCTAGCAATGGAAAAAATTCGGAAAGTGTGCAGTCGGAAAATGTGATGTGTCAAGCATATGCTAGAATAAATGGGGAATTTTCTGGATACTTTGGAGCGGAGATACGATTTTTGACAGAAAAGTTTGTTTTGGACTACTATCAGATTTCAGCTCAAAATTCCAGTGGGATATGATTTCGGCAGACCCTTGAAAGCCATCTTGTAGAGCTTGCTTTGCCCTGTCGAATGATTATTCAAGCCACACCGATGAAGGAAAGGTACGAGAAGACGGCGGGTTGCAGAAAAAATATACAGCCACCCCAAAATATCACGGCAATTCGCACTATAGTGAATAAAACTGTCCAAAAAACCACTGTTTTGCTAGGCATACGTTGTATTCATTAACCAGAACGGCTCGCAAATTCGTTGGTTCTAACCGAAGTAAAAGTAAAGGACTTGGAAGAGCCTATTCCGAGTGCTAGTCACAGTATAAATCCACCTACATTTCCAGGCACTACCGCAGCTTTAAACCTATGATAGATGTGTTTATAACTATGACCACCACCTTCTCAATCTTTTTTTGTGCAAAAGAATGAAACTGAGAGCCGTTTTTGGCAGAGGGGTGTAATCGAGCATGCTGATAACCCCGTGGGGGTAATCAGCATGCTCGATTACACCCCTCTGCCAAATTCCAGCCCCCTAGCTCAAATTTTGCAAAAATCGATAAAATCGACATCGATCGATAACGAAAAGTGGACTGTGACACCCGCCGGGGCCCGAAGTGTATGTGTGCCAAGTTTGGTCCGGATCGGTTAAGAAATGGAATTCTCTATTCGGAACATACGGCGGAGCCGGGTAAGCCAGCTAGTAACAATATACGGCCAGCACTGTATAAAGCGCAGGCAACCCTATACATCATCGTTATCGCGACAATGTCAACACTTCCGTCCGAGTCGAATGCACCCAACCCAAAAAATGACTTATTGTTAGATTCTTAGGCCTGTCTTCTAAGATTTTGATCGCACCCTTATATAGTCAGTCCTATAAGCCACTTACATTGATTGAACTTATTGTCACTAAGCTCGCTTCATTCCAGCATTACGCAGCTGAGTCGACTTTGAATGATATCAAACCAGATTGATCACCATATTTAGAAGCATCGCACAAGAATACGGGTCACTAATCTGAGCCGGCGAGCGTCTCGCCTGGGCCTCGACGCTGCGAATGTATATCGGGCATTTTTCCAAGAATGGCAGCCACTGAAAATACCGTACCCGCTGAGAAGGAAAGCGGCGAGAGCTCAAAGCGAGGCGGCTCGACCGTGGCGCTCTGACCTAAAACCCTCATATACTAAACAGCTCACAGCAATGTACTACTGCATTTGCAGCGATAAATAGATGGTTTTCATCAAGTTTTCGGTCCTCAGCAGATCGTTCACCACAATCACCTGTTTAACATTTCCATAATGTTAGCGCAGATGTAGCAGGGAGACTACTCCCAGTCAAAGAAGAGGAAGACTGTAAAGGCTTCCAGGAATGACAATGGGGGTAATTTGGAGAGTTTTGAGTAACGTTTTTGAGTGGGAGAATAATCGTAAATGGTTCTTGTGAAGAGTACTACGAGAGAGTGTGTGTGAGAGAGAGAAAGAGAAAGAGAGTTGAATGTGCACGTTGGAAGTGTAAACGGTGGATGGAAACTTCCAACAGTGAAATACTCAAAGCTTTTGCTACAATACTTGGGAGAGGACAGTAAAAGCAGTTCATTTAATTTGGAAACTGGAAGTCAGAGAGAAATCAACGTAACACTCGTAACTTTGAAAAAGTCTATCCTGGACAGCGCTAGAAAACACTGGCAGAGAGCAAAAAATCTCTTCGATGAGAATCACTTTGAGATTAACCACTGGGATCAAAAAAATTTTTTGAGGGAATTGAAGAAAAGTTAGAAGTACATAGATAAGTGTGAAAATATTTGTCGAAATCTTTTCAGGGAAAGCTTTGGAGTAGAGAAGAGCGAACAAGAGGTTTACAACTTTTATGGTGTGAAAACGGTACGCACAAATCTAACAAGGTTCGCGGTGCTCCGTAGAGACTAGGGTGATACTCTATAGGATAGAAAAAGCAGGCGAATTTTGTGGAGCTCTGCCTAGGATAGTTACCCGGAACTATTCACCACGTTATAGGAACATATCGTTTGGTTTCTGTTGGAAATTTACGCTGGTACAAATTTATTACTAAACAGTGCTTCGCATTAACACTGTGCAAGCGTGAAAGTTCAGGCTAAACTAACTATTGGTAGGAAAAGACAGGAAACGCCACAAGACTCCAAAGTTCCAACTTCCAAGCGGATGCCACTGCACACAAGTAGCCAGTCCAAATTGGTGAGACGATAGATAAATGCGGTCGAATACAAAAGCAGGGAAGAAGTGATCAACACGAAGAGCGCGATTGGTTTCGAGACAGCAAATTGTTTTCGCTTTTCGCTGTTCAATACAGGCGGGCAAACGGCAACAATGTATGAAAAGATGAACGATAGCTGCAAATAAGCATAGTGTGGTCCTACGGTTGTTAGTATGCTGCGCATACAGTGGTTCTTTTGGAGCAATAGGTTCTTCTGTGGATTGAAAGTAATGCAAGCAAAGATTAAAATCCACCAGATTCCCAGCGTTTTTTCCACATTTTTCTATGTCATCATAGCGTAAATACAGAATTTGGAAAAGATTTAACCAACACAACGCAGATGGGTGTTGGTTGGCTCCCTTCGGCAACATACGGAGCAGGACCTTTTGCATACACATGCTGAATCAACTTACATGATCATAGATACACTGCGGGAGATAGAAGAAAAAGAAGAGAAAAAAGGCAATTTTATAATGAGGGAATTTTGCAGACTGCGTCGATTTCCTCACTTTTGTCAAGGAGCGAACGAGGAAAGGAGAAAGGAGATCCTAGGCCTATGTCAGAGGCCGACACAGTCGTATCTGCAATGTTGCCAGCAAACTCCCGGTTTTCTTTCCCACTCGGACGCTCTTCTACGATCATTTTTGCTATTAAAGTGTGAAGGAACTACGGTAGCCGTGCCCGTGCGAAAGAAAATGGAGATTGTCAGCTACGGCTTGGCCCATATCAAGAAATGAGGCAGACGTAAGAAAACTGACAGTAACCACATAATTGCACAGGTAAAAATAAACACCAGTGACGGAACTTTCAACCTCGTCAACAACTATTTGCATTTTTGAGAGTTGTGTACTCTCATGACTGCTATCTGATCCTCAGAAACCAGAAACATTTCGGTGACAAACATCGAAAGCATAAAAACTGGTAACCTGGGGGCCACTTTCCATTAACAACACGCACAAGTAGCGAAGGAATATGAAGTAACTGAGGGCGAAATATACCAATGATCGTATATTGAGTCATCACCCGAAAGTGGTAAACAGTATCACGTGAGTCACATGAGAATGAGCTGTGACAGCTGAGCACCACGATGCTACCGTAGGACATCGACGGCACATGGCGACATGAAACCGCGTACCGTAGTCTTCCAGTCTGCGACCCCATCGTTGACGCATTGATTGATCTGTGACACGGGTTGGGTTCCATGAAGCATTAGACGGAAATGGTGGTGAAAAGCAAGTACAAATGCAATGCAAACTCGGTGATTTGCAAATATAATTGCAAATCACCGTGTTTCTTTTCTGATAACTATCGAGTAATCGCCAGCACAACAATTATTTTTTATCACAATGCATGGCACTTCTGCAAAAGCCATCAATTTACTCAAACGGGGTGATCGAGATCCCTGCCATGAGGCAAAAAAGCGCATCAACGTACGAAGGCAGCCTGAGAAAGGGGGAATCACCACGGTAGGCTCGATTGGTTTCGAGACGAAATTTTGAATTGTTGACACCTACTTTGCGTCCCGTCAATTCGAACCGGATACTAATCACGCGCATCCTTGCGGAAGAGGAAAAAGGAAACACATCTTCGGCGAAGTGAGGAGCAGGACGTTATTGTATACGCATAGCAGAGCCAACTTATGAGGTTACAGATACTTTGTGAGAGAGAGAGAAAGAGAGAGGAAAAAGGAAAGAAAGAAAATAGTCTTGCAGTGAAGGAATTTTGGGAGTTGTGTCGAATTTCTGTCGACAGTCAAGCACTTGACGAGGAAAGGAAATATAGGCCTATACCAGATCGTGACGGTCGCGCCGGCCACTGCTGAATTCGCCAGCAAAGTTCTCCATTTTCTCTCTTACTTTACTGAGATCAGTTCTGCTCAAATTGAACAATGAGAAAATTGTGGTAGCTGTACATTTACTGGGGCATTGAAGCTGTACATGTAGTGCGACACCCCCATTTTGCGCAGGTAAAAATGGAGACCTGTAGCTAACTAGCTTTGTCAACCTCATCAATGGATTCTAGCATTCTCGTGTTTGTGAACTCTCACGCGTTCTGTCTGATCCTAGAAGACTAGAAGCTTTTTGATGACGAACATTGAGCGCATGAAAGTAACATGAACCATGCAGCAACCAAATGTGAAAAAATCATGTACGTTTCGTTAGTTCCTAATTTTTTTGCCATTCTCAAATCACTTCATTCAGCAAAAAATATA